GTGAGATGTTACATATTTTGACAACTATATATAGTTGTTGTGTTCCTTTATTTTGAGATATCGAAGCATTTCTCATTTGAGTTCTTTCTCCTCTCACAAGAGTTCTCTATTCTTTTGAGGAGTTGTTATTATTTGTGTTGAGAGTAAGTATCTAAGAATTCTGCCAGATCCGAGTAGTTTGAGGTTGTTATTCTACCGTTAGTCGTTGTATCCTGCTGAGACAATCGCTGTAGTCTGCTAGCAACTAGTACAGAGTAAATAATTGTCTTCAGGTCAGGTTATTGAAGTGTGTCTCGACTATATTTATATAAAGTTTTGGTGTTGTTCAAGTTGTCAAAATCTATATTGTTTGTAGCTAGTTGCGTTGTAATCTGTTTGCTAATATTATATAACTTATATATAGAGCGTATATTTACCCAACACCTAATCTGAACCTCCCAATGATATGTATTTTGGTTAACGAATGACTTAATCTGAATAATGTTGTCCATCTCAACAACACTTTGTATACAATCTCCATTTGCACAAACCAAAACGTATTGCAGTCACTCGTTTTTTGTTTTTTAGTTTCACGTCGTAAGATTCCTCAAGAGTATAGTCACTTAAATCTTTGAAGACTTATTGACTAACAATTTTCATGTCTACGTTAAATTTGATGTGATCCATATCGAATTCAAGCATAAACTCTAGTACCCTATCTACTTCCTCCCATCCAAATTAGATGATGTATTCAAAACTTCGTTAGAATCGTACCCAAACCTCATGCCCCAACCCTTCCATATCTAAATCGCTTTCTAAATCATTTTGATGAATCAAGTCAAATCTTTCCTCACCTTCGATTCTAGGTTCATCAATATTGTCAAAAGCCACTTTAGGGGTTGTGTTGAACATAAATATGCATAATTCTATCCTTGAGAAATTAGGAAAATCATCTATAAGATGTGATTGTCTATAAGTATCACTTTCAACCCCATTTTAAGAGTAAAACTCAGTCTTATCATAGTAAACCCCTACTCTTGTTGTACATTAGTGATCATTTTTTCAAGAATAATTTAATATAATATGTAGGCTAAATATAAATTTTATTCATTTTTGTAGTAGTAGAATCTCTAATATTTATCTCCTTATTATTTCTCTAGAATAGGTAAACCTTGACTTGAGGTTTGATGAGCTTGTTTTGACAAAAGGCTTTTACAAACAATTGATCTTCTTTCTAAGCATGTTCTTCGATTCCATAACGCACTGGAAATTGCACGCCTAAGTTGAAAAAGTTGTGTTAAGCAACCAGCAAGCAAACGATTTAGCACCCAGGACGTGTCAAAATTGCTTTCAAGGTAGTGGACGTTCATCCACGACACAACGATCATTTCCATCTAAATCCTACTTCTATTCTAACAAGGTTTAAAATTGCTTTCAAGATGAAATTCACTCCTCCTCGATCTTTGAGGGGTAGATGAATGTTCTCTTTAGTGCTGACTCCGGGACTTGAACAAGAGGCCCCACCTTCTCACTAGCCCGAGAGAGACTTCCGGTTATTGGTCGGACCATAACTAGGTTGTTCATTAGAGAATCAGCGATAGTTAAGGTACAAGATGTAACACAGGGGTAAAACGGTAATTCAACCCATCTATGGTTACAAACACTCGTGAAGGATTGACTTGCCATTAATGATTGATATCCATGGACATAGAAATATTATATAGTGAGAAGAGTTCAGCTGCAGGTTTTTAGTGGAGTAACCCGTAGTTAACGTATGTTAATTAAGGTGGTCAATCAGTTAAACTAATTAATCTCGGAACATTGGAGCTTCTGATCTATAGGTCCATTAGGTGCCCTTGCTAGCTCGTAAAGGGTAATTAAGAACATTAAATATTGGAAGAAATTTGAATTGTTCAAATTTAATTAAAGGGAATTTGAGTTAATTGTGTATGACACAATTTTATATAATGTATGATAGATACGTTATAAAACTATATAATATGAGAAAATAATGTGAATTAGATTCATATTAAAAATTCTATAGGTTAAAGTTACGAGGGAAGTGTATATTTGAATATGATTCAAATATTAATTAATTTAATTAAATTGTTTTTAAGTAATTAATTAATTAAGATTTAATTTAATTATTAATTAAATTAAAATAGTTTTAATTTAATTAATTATTTAATTGATTTATTATATTAAATATATTATATATATTAAATTAATTAATTAACCACTCCCCAGCAGTTTTTTTAGGGAGTGGTGAAGTGGAGGGTGAGAGGTTACTTCGACTCCCCCTCTCTTTCCTCTCACGTTAGATCACAGTTTTCTTCTGTCATTTTGGATTGTTCTCATCCTTGAAAAGTAGGAATTAGAAAAATAAGAAACTCTCTCTCAATCATAACCACAATTCCCTTTCGTTTTCTTTCCAAGAAGTATCCCACAATCCGAGTTCTTGTTGCTAGAGTCATAGCAAAGAAACTAGTGTCTAACATTTAAATCGTGCATTTGAGAACATTTGTTCATGCTCTCACAAAGTTATGTTCGAGGAAGAAAATCGATTCACGGTCTACAAAAGTAACTTTTCTTCCTCCCAACAGGCTTAACTTCTAATTTAAAATAGAATTGGTTCAGTTTTAAAAACCGGCAATATATTTCTTCTAAACCGAGTTGAATCACAAGCATGCAACCGCTTCCGCTGGGGATTCGATCCCATCATGATTTAATGAAATTTTAATAAAAATTTCAAAATACCTAAAAATATTATATTGCAAAAAAAAAAAAAAAAGTTGAAGTCGTGTGCAACGTAAACAACTTCCACTCAAAATAAAGCCTGTACATTGTGAGCAACTTCAGTGACCAAAAATAGAAAACATACGCGACTTGTGTAGAATGTACGCAACTTTCCTACTGATTCAGCACTCCCATACCACGTCATATATATATCTCGTTGGTATCAAAATTGCATCCATTGTACGCGTTTTTTACTTTGACCAACACCTCTTGTTGTCAATAGTTTTGATAGCTAACTTAGTTTTGGAATTGTTTATTTAAATTACATTTGTTTTGTTATTACTTTTACATCAACATTATTTTTTAAACTAAATTATTCTTAAAATTATTCCTTAATTTGTTTAATTCAAAAAGTTTATAAAGTTTCATAAACCCTATTTGTTTCATAAACCCTATTCACTCCCTTAATATTGCCATATTGATGGAATAGTAAGATCATTTCAAGTTTCACATCAGGTGTATATTCACAAGTCGAGTAATTATATTTTTTGTAATAAAAATGGTGAATACATATATAGATGAAAATAATATTTCAAAAGACATCATGAGTTGTAATGAATAGGAGACTTGCAAAACAGAGAACACTCTGACGCCCAAGTTAGGAAGAATCCAAGTTGTATTCAGAGTGTAATACAGGGTTCGCGTACTTAATAGAGGCAAATGACTTCTATTTATAGGCAAGATCTCCAACATCTTTCCCGACAAGGCCACAATGGCTCTTTAAGGTAACCGTGAATCGCGGCGAATTGTCGTGGATTCTGTCGGGGAATGAGGCTTAGCAAAAGAAGCCAAGGTCGATTCGACCAAAGAATGGTAATAAGACCCAAGGAATCTTGGTCAGCTTGGCTATGTTGGACGTCGGCTCGGTACTGGTTTTCAATATTGGTTTTGAGTACCAAGGTGATAAAAGTTGACTCCATAAACACAAAGTCACGTATCTCTTTCTCCTCCAACCAAGACGTGCCATGTGTGAAGCTGAAAACCACCCTCAACAGACGTAGTATTTTTTAGATTCGCCAATAGTGAAAGTACATTATGTGCCACAGCGGGAGATGAAAGATATTATTAATTAAGACCAATTTGATAACCATTTCTGTTTTTGGTTTTTGCTTTTATCCATTTTTAGTTTTTTGGTTTTTGGTTTTGTGTTTTTAAAAAACAAAAACTATATACGTTTGATAACCATTTTTTGTTTTTTTTTTGTTTTTAAAAAACAGAAAATGAAAAATGTTTGGTAACCATTTTTAGTTTTCTGTTTTTAAAAAGTTAGAAAATTGAAAATATATATTAGAGAGAGAAAATTCTATGTAGGGTAGGGATCAATATGGTGTGGGTGCGACTGAGGATCATCTCCCCCATTCTCGTGCTCGTGAAAAATTTTTAATCCTCGTCTCCACCTCGTTCTTCGAGAGATGTTCTCGAAAAAAATTATCGGTTTTATAATTGTTTTTAATTATTTTTAGAAATTTAAAAATAAAAGAATATAATAAATATATATTAATTATTTAAAAGATGGAATCGGGGACGGGGTCGATCGTGACATGCATTTCCCATTTTTTGCGCCCAACTCTGCAGAAATTTTTGTCATCCCTAATGTAAAAGATATGAAAGTACAAGTTTAGAGAGATGTAAATAAACTTTTAGAAGATAAATTTTAGAGAGATAAATAAAAAGATTTAGAAAAAAATTAGTGAAAGAACAGTTAAAGACAAAAAGAGAAAAATTTTAGAGAAGAAAAAGTAAAGTAGGGAGGAAAAGATATGTAAAGAAAAAAAGAAGAAATTATAATTAAAGAGAAATTTATAGTGAAAAAAGTTTAGAGATAAAAAAAGATTAAAAATATAATTTTAAGAGAAAATAAATAAATACAAAGATAAATAAAAATTACCGTGAAAGAAAATTAACATATAATTTTCAGACGAAAAAATAGATTAAGAAGAGAAAGAAAAATTATAAAAGATGAAATTTTAGAGAGAAGAAATGGTTACCAAATTATGTATATAAAAGTCATGATTTTATATACATAATTTGATATTTCAAATATAGAGAAGTATAATAAAACATTAAATATTTTGTAAAGCGTTTTCAATAAAACTATTATTTTCTTTGATATAAATAATTGGAAGAATAAAATTTCAAAACTTTATAGTTCAATTAAATGAAAATATCTTTTATATAGAAATAAAATATATTTCTTTTATTACAAGAAAATGGGAGTGGGATGGTTCGAAAAATGAAAACCGCGTGAAAGCCAACCGATCAGTGCAATTCTATATACTAAAAAGCAAGATACATATTATTTAAGGAAAATACTTAGGTCCTGATTAGCAAGAAGCTATCTTGTGCTACAACTAAGAGAAATACAAAAATAAATATCTGTCGATTTTTATTTTGTATATAGGTTCTCATGGGTCAGGATCCAAATATTTTCCATTATTTAATCCATGTATAAGGGCACGTGCCCTTGGTGATCTCTTTGTAGATCCGCGATCGGCCTCTGGGTCGGTCGTGTAGTGACAAGTGTGGGTTGAAATTCAGGTTGATGATGTTCTTCCTCGGGCTTTTTGGAGGAATTAGGTAATGGTGGCTCTGATTTCTTCATCTCATTATTCTTTTGAGAGTCAAAAAACTTTTTCCATGTATAAGCCTCAAGCACGAGAGTGATTGTGGCCAAAGCCACAAGAATTCCTATCACTGCCCTCCTCCAGATATCCTCAGCTTTCAAAATTCTTATTCCTTCAAATATGTTTGCAAATATCACAGCTAGTAGGGCATACCCTAGGAAGTGATGGTATATGTTCCACACTTTTCGGAAGTCGTCCTCGGGCTTTGGCCTAAACCATATCGCCATCGTCTACGATGTAAAAAGCAAATATATCAAAAGTTAGTACATCAACAAAATCACTATGAGTATATAGTTCATCAATATCATAGTAGGAGCACTATGTAAACCTTCACTACTAAGAAAAGTTAATATGTACTTTTTTACCAATTTAACCCACAAATTTCCCTCATCATATCAAAATATTTTAAAAAATAAAGCTACCCATATAGAAGATTTCCAATCAAATAAAAGTAAAAACACACACAAATGTTAACTCAAAGACAACTCTATAAACAATATACTTACTATTGTCTCAAAGGTCAGTAATACCATCCCAATAACAAAATTCACACAACTTTAATTTGTCTACTTTTTTCTTTTTTCCGCCGTTAGTATTTCAGTTGTTTTATTTATTTTTTTTAATAATGTAGGTTGAAAATAGAGATTATAATTAAAAGAAAAGGAGAGAGAGAGAGAATTATGAATAATACTTGTAAGGTGACAAACGAGAAAATAAAGATGGCAAAGATGCGATGAGTGAGGAAGACATAGCGTGTGGAAGCATGTCCGAGCCACATCCCAATGGCCCAACCGACGAGACCAATCGCAAACCCTAAGCTCTGACACCCCACATGAATTCCGTACCACGCGTTGTTTGAATCTATTGGGAATTTCTTGAAGAATCTTGCTATTATCACTCCCACCGGCAACAGCGTTCCCCACCCTAAAATGTTCAATATTCCATGCACCTAAAACCGCGTCCAATGTTTAACCAAACTATACGAACTAAATTGTAATTTATTTTTACTACTCGACCTACTTTCCTGAGACGAATCTTGATGTGGGCGATGTCCGAGCTTTTCCCGGAGACTAGGTTGAGCATCTCGACGCTGTCCACGTTCCGGAGAGTGGCGACGTGCTGCTTCGGCTCGTCTCCTTCGACCTTGTACCCGATCTGCCACACCATATTGAGCCGGGAGATGTTGTAATCAGCGGACGATAGGTTCAAGGAGGCCGACACCATGTGGTATCCTGTCAAATCGTTGTACTCAAAGCTGGTACACTGCACCTCCTCCAGCACCGACGGCTGGAGCCGGCATCCGATCCTCGTCTCGTAGGTCACATTGTAAGTTTTGCACACGAGGGACGTCTTGGACGAAGGGTCTTTTATGCCGATGGCCGCTCTGGTTCCGACCATCTCTGGCTGTGGGCCCGGGTTGACGCCCCAGGCAAGCCAACCCATGTCCTCGGCTAGGACCGCGCCGACCAGGATGCGGAGGAGGTGGCGGTTGCCAGAGCTGGACGGGTCACTCCACCCGAGCTCGGCGCCAAGGGTGGACAGTTTTTGGCAATGTGATAAGCTTCTGGCTTTAGCGAGTTCATGGAATTTGTCTGTGCATGGATGGAAGGCGAGAGCCAGAGGGAAGATTGTTGAGAGAAATGGGAACAAAGAGAGAAATATTATGGGGTTCTTCCAAGAGGAGTACATGTTTTTCCTTGGTCTCTAGGAGGGGTTGATAATTATTTAAATAGTGATAACATTTTGTTAGAATTTTGACATATATAATAGGAGAGATAAAGGTCCAAAGAGAGATATTTTTAAGTTTTTCAAAAAGAATGAAGAGTTAGTAAAGATAGTGTTGACCAGTCAATATATATCCAAATGTTTTTTTTGGGTTTAATCTCTATTTCCTCCACTCCCAATTTTGTGCCTATAAATTAAACTTTTAAAAAAGGTCTTACGAGATAGAAATCTCTTAAATAAAATAATTATAAATTATTGAAAGTTCAAAAACATTTTGCTTGTAAAGACAAAATTTAAATTTTGAAACTACCACTTACGAAAGGAACAAACTTATTTGGGGCATTCTTTATGTGCTTTTTGTCAGGTTTGGAGTGGGAATATTACTAAACTTGATAATCACCCAAAGCATGTGGTACTATGAAAGCCATTATATATGAACCTTAGTTCATGCTATTTTTAAACCTTTCTTTAAAGTTGTACTCTCTCTCTTCACTCTCTATCTCCTTCATCATTTTTTTTTCTCTCTCTCTCTCCCCAATGACATATTCCACACTTTGATGAACTTAACTGTAAAGGGTCTGAAACAGATTAAAGAGATCAAATTACTTGCCAGCTATATACAATGAGATTCTACTTAATTAGTTAATGCTATTTGAAACCTGGAAGGTTGATTGTTTGTTAGTGCTTTGAAAATGATTCTTAATTAACATTTTAAGATGTGTGATATACGTCGATGCGTAAATTTAACTTGGAAGGATTACAAAATTCGAACTAAAATGGTCTGACCTAATCTGTAAAGCAAAGAAAGATAACAAGTCACGCACTTCGATATTTAAATTAGAATCGAGTTTTTTGATTTGATCATTGGAGTTATCGTATTGTTAGTCTAGGGTTTTTAGTTTTTAGGCATAGGTATTATTTTGGGGCAGTATGAATAACTAATGAGACATGATGATGAAATTTGATTTGGGATGTCAAAGAAATTTGGGCAATTTATACTTGCACCATATTCTCAATTTTTTTACACACATGCGAACAAATAAAATTTTTAAAGGTATAAAATTTCGCAATTATGGCCTCTATGAAATTTCTTATAATTTGTATACAGCTATTTTGGGGTGAATCTATTTAGGATAGGAGTATATGATTCATTTAAATTAACATCTAATTTAATACATTTAAGAAAGGGTCCGACTGAAATAAACAAATAGGAGAGTATAGATAAAATATATATATATATATATATATATATATTGTACAGCAAAAGTAGGATTTTTTTAGGGTATTTAAATATGAGTTCTTTCTCGTTTATGGTGGGGAAATCTCTCTTTTGAGGATTTTCTCTTTAAAACAATGGGACAATTTCAAAGTAGCATCATTTGGACTGGATTTGAAATGTAGATTGATTTGATTTGATTTGATTGACGAGCCAAATTATTGGGTCTGTTGGCCTCAGACCTAGTATCGAGAGGCATCTGGATAAACACTGTGCTGCCCAGGCCAGCCCACAGATAGGCTGTTCTTGACCTAGCACCAAGGTGCTAGCCCACGGGTTGGATAGCCTCAGCTTGTCGGCCTAACACCATGGCACTAGGCCTATTGTCGTGGTGTTGATGCTGTCCACAGGTTGGCTGTTATCGCTCGATTGACTTCGATCTGTGACCATGTGTCTCTTGTCTCAAAAGTTTCATTTTCAGAGTCTCAACTCTTTGAACAATTAAGGCTTGTAACCTTACTTGTCTTTGAGCTGGCTTACTAGTCGTTTTGTGGCTTCTTAAAATATTAGAGTTTTATTTCTCCCCGTACGATACACTAAATCAAGAGTATGTTGATGTGACAATTAATATACCTCAACTATAATATATATTAATAAGAGTACTACAGAAAAATGATGGCATAAAATCCAAATCATTCTTCAACTACGGGGTATAGTTGAAAATTTGAAAGGTCCAAATACATGAGGAACTTAGTTAACCCTTTCAGAATGAATAGAATATTTAAAAGAGTAAAAGAAAGGGGTTGTCGTGATTCATGCATTTGATTGCTATATAAGTATATATATGTGCTTT